ATGGAACTGATTCTGTGCTTCTTGAGGTAAAGGAATGTATTTTCTTATTTGTTCTGGAATGGTGACCAAGCATGTGCTTGGATTGAACTTAGTGTTCTCAATTAGATAGTTCTAATTTAGAGAATGTGGATTATTTTTGAGATGATGATTTGTCTATGCCTAATTCTTGTATCATAACATAGGTTTTATATGGAAGAACAATGTAAATTAATTGATGGAACTTATTAAGTTAAATTAAGGTCTTAGTTATGGCCCTTAAGTTATAACCTATGCTCATTGGGCTTCATAGCTTATGGTGTATTGTTCACCCTGTTTTAGGTTAGCTAGTGAAGAGATCAACAATTTTTAGGAGACTAAGAGTTTCCTATGGTTGCTGGTAGCGAACAAGCTTTTCAGGCTTGTTAAGGTAACTTGTATCTCCCCAAAGCTGAATCCTGGCTCAATGTTTTGTAAAAGAACTTCGCATTATTAGAATATTTTCTGTTTACCAAACGGACGATCAAGTAAGCTTAAGAGCTGATTCTTAATCTGGTATATTGTGATAGACTTTGCTGTATAAATAAGTGTACACATGGACTATCCAAGGACTTGTGTAAATATTCAATCAAAGTATGTGTTTTTTTTTACATTGGAACCTAAGCTCCTTAGTTTGCTACAGGGGTGATTATCTTTTCTTTACAGCTTTAGTTATCTGATTATTAAAAGTTGTCCTTGAACCATTTTTGTATTTAAAGATTGCCTTTTACAGAAGTTTTAGGCTTATTTATTATGAACTGGATTTTCAAAAGCTTCCTAAAGGAGACCTAAAAGTATCTTTTCTCTAAGAAACATGTCTGCAACTATTTAGAAATGGAGTTAATCTAAAAGTTACAGCTCAAACTTGACCTTTTTGGGTAAGATTGCAGGTGTGGGATGTAACAACTGAGTTCAGATAGGAGGCAGTCAGGTTACTGGCGTTCAAATATATGTGTAGTTTGTTAGGATTTCTCCATCAGGAACCATGTTCTAGGTTGAGATGAGAGTAGTTATTTGTTCCATGAGTGAAACCAAGTTGTGTTTACTTCAAATAAAACCACATTTCTTGATGGTTCTTGTCTAATGCTTTTGGAGTTTTATTTGGTTGTTGTCTACCCTAAACTTCATTTTATTTGAAATTTTCTCTAGTCTTTTAGTTATTTTATGCATTCTAGCAACTTTGAATTTCTCATCCATGAGAAATTTGCTTCATGTAATTCTGGATTTTTGTCATACCTTCACCTTGTGTTAACAAAATCAGGGTGGGCTGCCCATGTATCTAGCCAGTCATGGTTTATACAACTGAAAGCCTCCAACAGTGTTTGTACCACCATCAATCAAAGAAGATGTTGAGAAGCTGTTTGAAATTAATAGGGCAATGGGCCAAGTGGAACTAAACCTTGATTTGGTAGCACTAAATGTTGGTATGTAGCTTTGGTTAGAAAGTTCTGTAACTCTTTGACCTTTATAATCTTTATAATGAATATTGCCAACTTGACTTCAGGTGAAACATATGAATTGTGGAATGACATTGTTGTGAGACCTTTTAGAACTCACCATGTTATACCAAGCCAGGTATCTTTAACTTTTAATGCTGTGAATTGTGCAGAAAATATAGAAAAAGTATATATATTATTTATTTGTGAATGTTCAAATCTCTGAATTAGATAAATAAATTGGAAACTCATTCTTGAGAGATAAAATTGTGATCCACCCATAAATAAGTTTTACCTTTGATATCTTCTGCACAGTTGGAGCTCACTGCATTATCTAAGACTGCACCAATTTTATTTCTTCTATTTCTTTGTTCTGCTGAATTTCTTATGTTTTTTCTGGGCTTCTAGGGAAAATGCATCTTGTTGCCAGCTTCACTCCTGTTGATATCCTTGGAAGTTTAGTTTCTGCATTGGAGATTATACAATTACTTTGTTTTGTTCAGGGTTATGTCATTTACTCTGTGAGAAAGAAGCTGAAGAAGGAATACATTCATCTGAAAGGCAAAAGGATTGAGAAATTGAAGAAATCTGGTGTTGAGGTTTGCACCTTAAATGAAATACTTTGGTTAAATTTTTTCTTTATCAGGTACTCATTTGACTTGAGACCTCCCTGTACAGATTACAGACATTATATTGTCTCCTGAGGTGGCATTTACTGGAGATACAACATCAGACCACATGCTTGATACACGAAATGTGGATTCCTTGAGGGCAAAAACTCTTATAACTGAGGTATTGGCCAAATCAAATACCGTCTTTTTCCTCAATTCAATTTATATTTTGGAAATTTTTGTGGGTTTTCTGGGGTTAAAACCTATGACATTTTGTCAAATTTCCAAATAAATTGCCTTTACCTTGTGGCAAATTTGGCACAATATGCTATCTAGATATTAAGCAGTTTCAATTGCTGAAATGGTGGAATCAATTTCGAAAGTCTAATAGACAGTCACCAAACATGTCGTATTAAAGGCAAAAATGACTTAACTTTGTGCACCCTTCTAGTATAACATAGGTGAATGTAAGTGCAAAACGTCTTATACATTCATGCACAATTACTTGTATTAGTCCAATAGATGGAATTTTTTGTTCATTTCATTATGTATAAGAAACAGCTGTCTTGATAAAGAGTGATAAATGTAAAACATAATCTGCACTTAGCCTACCTAAATGTCTCCTTAAAATTTGAGAATCAGAAAAGTTGGAAAAAAGTTCCCAGCATAGGTGTACAAGTCTTCATTCCCTAGCTATTGGTGTTCTTGAAATCACAGCTATTACAGAAGAGGATGCCTGGTCACATTTGGGCAGACAATGGTCTGTATGTTGCAGTGATATCATAATAAACTTGTTATGTGTAGTGTTTGCTTTCTGTTTCCTCTTTCATCCTATTCCTTGAATTAACATTCAATACATTATGGCCTTCAGAATCTGCTGTTTTCTCATGATGTTTGAGCTCTTTTTAACAGGCAACTTTCCTCAATGAAGGGTATAGCATCAAGCATGCACAAGAGCATGGTCACACTCACGTATTTGAGGTGTGTGTACTATTGATTCTTCCATTCTAATTCTGCACCATCTTTGGTAAGTTTTAACTTTATTGTATGTGCAAATTGCAGATCATGGAACATGCACAGTGGCTCCAGAGCAAGGCTGTTCTATTAACTCATTTCTCGTCCCGCTACAACATAGAGGTGATTATTCTATCAAATTGCTTGTCTCCATTTTAGTTCCTCCGACACAGCAATTCCAATTGCATCTCTATCTGTTAAGAAGGTTTGACCATCCCATCAACAAGAGAAACAGATTAATACTAAAGTTGCTTCCTAGAATCCCATTCGAAAATCATCTTAGCCAGATGGTTTAGTCCTGTCATTTGAGGTTTTTTTTCCATTTTGCAGATGTGTAAATAGAATATGTGTGTGCTTTAAAATCGAAATTTATAAATTTTACATAGAAAGCTACGAATCATCACAAGAAATAGTTAGCAAAAGTGTAACATAGAAGCAATTTTCTTTTTCATCCTGAAATCTTTCTTCTCTGCTTAATGAAGTATTATTGCTTGTAGGTTGTGTGGGAAAATACCTTTGAATTTTAATAAATGTCCGGAAAAAAAAATAGAATAGGCTACACATTTTGTGAGTCTAGTAATCTCATGTGTGAGCACCATTCATCCCAAGTGAAAATCTTGTAACAGATATATCTCTTTTCGATACAGGACATTCGTCAAGCCATTTCAAAGCTGCAAGCTAGAGTGTCGGCAAAGGTGGTCCCTCTAATGGAAGGTTTCAAATCAATGTATTCTTAATTATCTTCTATTAGCAGATATAACATATCTGAGGGCAGTCTAGAATTTTGGCAAAAGTGATTCTTGGTCTTTCTAGAGAGTTCACGGGTTCTAAATTCTTGAGGAATGCACTCACAAGATCTTGCTAATTTTGCCCAAGTTGAGAACAGCAGTAAATTTCAGGTTTGGATCTGCCTCATCTCTATAGTTCGTAATAGTTGCAATCTTTCTTAAAGAAGACATGGGCAAGAGAAAAGAAAAAGTTATGTTGATTTTATTCATAGATGATGAGATGATAAGGAGGTTAATATGCTTTGTTACTA